CAAGTGCTGAGATTAAAGGAGTGCACTACCATGCCTGATTCTAAAGACATTCTTAATGTATGTTTTATCTTAGAGACTTTTTATGGAATATTTCTACAAGGCTTGATGGACTGAAGGTTTTTAAAAATAATTTTATGTAAATGAATGTATTGCCTGCATGTATGTAAGTGCACCTGTGCCATGCAATGCCCACAGAGGTTAGAAGTGGGTGTCAGATCCCCTGGAACTAGTTATGGATGGTTGCTAGGCACCATGTGGGTTCTTAGAATTGAACCCAGGCCTTCTCCAGAGCAGCCAGTGGTCTTAACCACTGAACCATCTCTCTAGCCCCTGCCCTTAAGTTTTTTAAATGACAGCAATAAATTATAATTAATATCATATGTGCAGAAATAAAGACTGAGAAGAAAAGAGAATGCCCAGTCAGCTGAAGGCAGGCATAATGGGAAATGAAACAGGTCTGACCTGTATGGGAAATGGACTGTGTCAGAAATGTTTTAGATAGAAAGTAACAAATTCTCCACTAATACAACTTTAAGTGATCAAAGTCTGTTCCCTCAAAATGCTAGGAATTACGTGGTTTCTGGCATTGATTCACTGGCTTAAGAACATCACCTGGGGAAACAGACTTTTTGCATTTTTCTTCTCTGACATGTTCAATCTGTTTTTGTTTTTTTTTTTTTTCTACCTTGGTTCTTCTCACTTCACACAGGTAAGATTCCAGAACTAAAGACCTAATTCTAGTGTCCAGACCAAAAGAAACAGTTGCTGAGAAGAGCTCTCCTTTAAGACACTAAGAACTTCCTGAAAGCTCCCAGATTTTCCATTACATCTTATTAGCCTAAACTGGTCACATGGCCACTCTCAGAGGAAAAGCTGGTTAGGAAAGCATTTGGGAAAGATGGAAGTCATGACACAAAGGTTTAGAACAGTCCCAACCCACTCCTAGGGACTGGGCATAGTGTTGTTTCAAGGAAGGATTACAGAGGCATTAGGTGAGAATTACCAATCACTGCCATCCCGTTTTTGAACTATAATACAAGTTGTAAGAAGTCGGGGCAGAGACATACCAGATGACGCAGTGCTACCTTCCATTTCCTAGACTGATTTATCTGGCCCTCTTGTGGCCCCGAGAGGCTCAGTGCCAGCGTGCAGAAATGACAGGCTTTCAAAAACTGCCCACTCAGGTTTAAATGTAACCGGATTTCTTCCTGTAAATTCATAATTTTTATCTGCATTACAAATTAAATTTCAAATGAAAGGAATTTATAACTACTCCTATAAAATTTCCTAAGTAGACGTACCCACGTGCAACTTAATGAGAAAATTACTGCCTTCTTTGGCCTCATGGGGTCAGTCAACCATTCATGCCACAAACACCGAAGACCCTAATGGACACTCACCGTTGGAACGAGGTACCTTGTGAGTCAAATTATAGTCTCATTGTTGGTTCCAGTCAAGCTTATATTTGCAATTACTGCTTGTAGACATGATCCTGCTTTAATAATTCTGGGAAAACTCCTCCCATCAAAGGCCAAGTTAGGCCTCACCTTAGATGTCATTTTGATTGGATCTAGCTTATCTCTAAGGGGTAAGAGAAAAGGAGGAAGTGCTGTTTTCCATCCCCCCCAACCCAATCCTCTTCCTCCTCCCCCTTCCTTCCCGCTCCTGTAGCCCCAGCTGGCCTGGAATTCATGATGTAGATACTATGTAGATCTCCAAGATCCACCTGCCTCTGCCTCCTGAGTGCTGGGACTAAAGGCATGTGCCAACCCCATTTGATTCTTCTTATTATTAAGACAGGGCCTTCCTTTGTACCCTAGGCTGCCTTCAAACTCATGTTTCTCCTGCCTCCACCTCTGGAGTGCTGGGACTATAGGCACCACCATGCCAAATGTGTTTTCTCATGAACTCAACAACATACCTCCAAGTGTGAACAGACCAAGAGCCAGACTAACGCTTATCTCTACCCACCTCCAATCTTTTCTGTAATTAATAGGCAAATAAGTACTTAATCTGGACTTTCTTTTTTTTTCAAGAACTTAATCTGGAAAAAAATGTGAAAGACACCAGAGGAAAGCACCTGCTTAGGAAGAAGGAACAAAAGAAAGAAGGCTTGTGGTTACAGTCTCTTCCACCCATCCCATAATGAGCAACTACAGGACCTACTTCACACTTTAACCCTCTTTGGTCCTCTAGTACTAGACCCTTACAGGGTCTTTCTGTGTTACCAAAATAATATTAAAAGAAAATTCACTTGAAGGTTGACTAATGGTGGAGAAAAAGTTTAACAGACACTGAGGAAACAGAAGCATCACCACAGGGTGATGTCAGACAATACAAGGTCACAGGAATACTTGGGGGGAAATCAGGACCCTGCACGCCATGGAGGGATGGTAGGTCTGAGAAGCACAGGTAAAGCCACATTGAATGCCTATGGTTTCTGCATCAAGATGGGACATCCTACCTCCCACAGGCCAACAGGATCACAATGCTCTGCTGTACTGGGAGGGAGGGTATCTAAACAGACAAACAAATGAGCCAAGTATGGCTTCCAGGGTGGAGAAGAAGTGTAAACTGCACTTGGCCTGATGCCCCCTGCTATTGAACAGATGCTATGTGTGTCTGTGCTGCTTGCTGGGATCTTTAGGTCTACAGGGACAAAAGATAAAGTCAAGACATTATCTCACTTAAGACACACATTTGCAGAGACATGGAAAAAGCAAGAGAACAAAAGGAAGTAAGAAATTAGTTTAGTTCTTGCCCACTTTCTGGAGCTATCACATATTCTAAAGTCAAACAATGTTAGGAAGAAGGCCTTGTATCCAGAAAAACATCTTTTCCTACTATAGTTACCTTCCATATCAACCTAAGCAGTGTAGGAGTCTATCAAAAATCAGCATGCCTGCAAACGTGCGTTTCAATGTCATGATTCCTGCAGAGCGCCATCCTAGACAAGCTGAGTATCAAAGGCTACACTGCAGTCCCTGCACCCAGGAAGCATAAATAACACCAGCAAGATGGAAAAGGATCCAAGCGAAGCAGAAGTCAGGTGCTAAGAGTCTAAGAATCCCTAGTACAGTACCTGCCTAACATGCACGAAGCCCAGGTTTCAATCCCCAGCATCACACACACACACACACACACACACACACACAATGAAGGTACTAACTCTGGGAAGGAGGAGACAGACACAGGGAGGAGAAGAGAGAGGGAAGGTTTCAATCCCCAGCATCTCTCACATATACAGATATACATACACATGGTACTAAGGGTGGGAAGGAAATGAGAAGATTGGGACAGGGAAGAGAGAGAGAAGGAAAGAGAGAAAAGAAGAGAGACAGGGAGGGACAGGAGAGACAGAGATAAGTGAAAAAAAAGCAAAGAGACAAAAAGGTGTTAAAGGGCAAGAAAACAACTTCCAGCACATCTGAATTGCTCCAAGTCACGGGTTCCCTCAGCACACGTTTATCCACTGCAGCTGCACACAAAGGCAGGCGCCTGCCTGCTGCAGTCCCGGGACTCTCATATCACAGCCAAGATAGTGCCCACCCACTTTTAGAAGCTGTACAATGAATGGTACCAGTGTCATTTCCTCATTGTAACTACACCTTATAACTACAGAGCTATCATGAAGCCAACTTAGGCTACAACCTGAAGAAGAAACAACACTATATACGGCCCTAGAATCCAAGCAACTGTTACCTAGAGGTACTTTAGTCCCTGACCCTTCTTCCCTTGTAATCCCACAAGAAGTAGCTTCAGGGATGGCACCAAGAGTGAGGCCCATCGCCAGGAAGACACATGCTCTAGCACATGTAAAACCAGCCTCTTACCCCTACCTTGAAGGTAAACTTACCATGCAATCATCTTCAAAGCTAGCCTCATAGAAATTATTCATTTCTTGATCTTTTTCTTATTTTTCCTTGCTTACTCATTTTCAGTTATTGAAATTCTCCAGGAAATGAAATGTGTGGAGTTGAGCAGCAACACATCAAAGTCTTAGGAGATGAAGCTTATCAGGAAGCTTAAGGTTACAATTCAGAAATGAGCACTTTAACCTTTGTGGAACAAGAAAACTTCATAGTTGCATCAAGTACTTGCTATTTAGATGAACAAAATTAAACTGCAGGCAGAATTCAATGAATCCCAGACCTAGCAGCCTTTCTGTTCCCAAAGCAGCAAGAACACCTGCATTCCCTGCTCTCGGAGGCAACTCTCCTTAGTCCCTGCCAAGAGGTCATGAAACCATTACCACAGAGGAGACACAGGCAAGTGGATGAAGCACTTGAGAATTACAGCTCTAATTTCCTTCCTTACACATTGACAGAGGATTTACGCTCAAGAGATATGATAAAATACAGAATAAAGAAACTTTTCTTGGTCAGTATTATCTCCTAAATAGAATGTTAGCCTAGATACACTTTACAGGTGTACAAGTGCAACAACAAAACGTTGCATGAACGCTTTGGAACCTAGTGCGGGTTCCATCACAAGACGTGCATGTTTTGGTTAAAAGTGAATGAGAAATTCTGAGCAAAGAATAAAAAAGATGAAATTGTAAGTTATATAACAATCGAGTAGACAACAAATGAAAGCAAAAAGAAAAGTAGGTATCAACCTAACGACAATTCTGCTTACAGATCAGGTAAAACGTAGTGAGCCAAACACAGCATTCACACATATATAAAACAATGGGACAAGGAACAGTATTTTAGAAATGAGTGTGAGAATGGATCCTGAAACTATCTGGTGAAAAAGTGGTAAGAATCAAAGACATTCAAGGCATTTTCTTAATTTGTGATCTCGATCTTCTCAATCTGTACTTGGTTGATATTAGCTCAAAATGTCCTGCTTTTCTTTCTATACAAAGAAGCTGGGAAGACCACGGGAGCAGTTCATTGTTTACTATAAGTAGTTCTGGTGGAAACTAACCAAGAACATGATTTCTTCAGAATTTAAAAAACTAAAAACTAAAATGAAAATAAAAACATGCTTTGGAATGACGAGATCTAGTTGCCTTTATTTGTGGTGTCAATTATCATAATGATTAAGTTGTCAATTAATGCCTGAGGGAGAAAGGTATTCATTTTGATTGTCTTTAGGAACCCCAAGTTTCTTCGTGTTTGCGTGAACAAGTCTGTCCCAGTGAACTGAAACTGTGTATTTCAATTCATCATTGCACATCAGTTAGCTGTCGTCAGGCTATGCATTCTCCACTGTATTCTGCTTCATGGTAGTTATTTCATTTCACATTTTACATGAAGTTAAAACATGAGTATATTTGTTAAAATATATATATACATACATATATATATAATGCACCTTTTTGAGCAGCAAAATTTTACTGAACAATTTTAGCAAATTTCAAGAGAATTAATTATTATCACAGTTTTTCAATGTCAATGAAAATAATAACATAGATTAAAATGTATTTTTAACCTAACAGAAAAAAAATGCTAAAAACATAAAATAAGAATAGAGAAAATGAGGTACAGGTAGCCAGAAATTCTCAGTGCTTTTATATCTCATTTTAAAAAGTAAACACAGTACTAATCATCATCTTGATTCCAGTGAATAAAAACTTAAACCTGCATTAATCGTTTTGAAGTCTGAAACCAAAATGACCCTTTAGCAGTACTGCCAAATGATAACCCATTTGGTAAGTTCACTCTAGAAAGCTAATTACAATGCAAAATTCTGACTAAATTAAAGTGATTCTCTTGTTATATGGCACTAGAGTCTGTCTCTTTGTTGGAATTCAATTTAACATAACAACCAGGGATAGGATTTCATAGAAACAGAAGTATACAAGGCTTGATGCAACTGAATATGGAGGATTAAGCATTTTTAATGTCCGTGTTATAATTTCTCTTGTAACACAAGTTGTACTGCATACTTTGCAATGGCTTGAAACCTTTTAAGCAACAAAACTGTATTTTAAAAAATATCATCATTCTTATGTGTTACATTAACTGTAGACATCACAACCACGTTAGCCTTTTATTGACTTAGAAAAGTACAACTTTTCCCAGGAAAATGCAGGCGATCAAATTTCAGTCAGCCGTCCTCAACTGACTAATCAGCACTGACTATATTTTGTCACTTCATTCTAAAGTGAAATGGATGAGAGTGACTTCTGAGAAGGAATCCAATTAGTGAGAAGTGGACCTTTCAACAATCACTGGATTTTCACATAGTTTTAATTGTAAAACATCCATTATTTAAGTGAAACATTAGAGAGGGTACAAATTGTCAAACTAGCCCAAACTTATTTTTTCCCATAGGTTTTAATCCCTTCTAAAATACCAATGGCATACAAACAGAGCTATGGAGTTCAGTCCTTGTAAGTGAAAGCAAACGTATTATGCCTACAGGCAGTTTCAAAGATTTGCTTTTAAATATCTGTTCAAAAATATTCAAATGTAGTGCTACCATAAAACCCTGAAACATACATTTCAATTGTATCAGATATATCAGTTTCCATTTATTCCTAACCTGCCACTAGTATATAAGGTCACTGGGTTGCCAAACAGCCCAAGTGGTTATGGAGACAGACCATGTTGTCCACTGAACAAAAGACTATGGGCACCACCAGGGTGTTCACTCAAATGATAAAAAACCACCTCCAAATCCCTGAAGAACGGCCCCTGTCTCCACACTGTGCCACACTAACACAGCAACACCTGTGGAGATTCCTCCAGATCTACAGCATCCCATAGCTACAAATACCCATCTAAAAGTTTAAAAAACACATATCCATGTACCCGTGATCCTTTGTAAATCCTAAAATGTAGAAACATTCTCAGCTTTGACCCCTTGTAAATCCTAAAATGTAGAAACATTCTCAGCTTTGACCAAGAATTATAATGGAATGAACTAAAGACATCTTTTAAAGTAATTTTAAGTGTACTCTTATTAATATATTTCTACATAGATTATACAATATTCTCTGTGGCATAATTTAATCAATAATATATCATAATGTCAATACTATGTGATCCAGAATCAGGTTCTGGCTAGAGAGGAAGCTTAATTATTAAGCAACACCTTTCTAAAAAAGCTTCTGGATTTCTGATTGGTATGAAAAAGAAAGAAAATACATCTCTCATTGAAGTAACACTGAAGTTCGAGCTTGGGCCCTTCTTTGTGTTCAACATAATTAACTCTTCAGGATAAAGTGGTGAAACGCATAGTCAATCAATTAAATTACAGCCATCTTCAAGAAAACTCTATGGGCAACTCTGGTGTTACAACTGTATATCTTGGATCCAGTCTGGGGATAAAATCATGAAATTCTTTAGATGCACCAGTACCAAATACATCCAGGGCTTTTCTGTTCATGAGTGCAAATCTGTAAAAGAACACAATAAAGAGATAGTTAAGGAAGTTTCATTTTCTGTGACTTAGTTTTCATGAAATAGGCATAATATGTTGACAAGGTAAAAATAAAATCTGATACTCAGTAGCAGTTTCAAACATCACTTGGATAACTAATGTCTGAGTCACTGTCCAGTGTTTGATTTAAACAGATAATCCTGAGATCCCAAACCTCAGACTCCAATTATTACTTCAAAGTCAGATACAGCTTTTTCCATTAGATTGTTTCAAATACAAAATGTGATTAATCTGTACTTTTCTGATGAATAAAATCACAGCACACTAAGTAAACACTGAAGAGCTAACTTTAAAACAAAGCCAAGTTGTTAATGTAATTGCTTTCATAGCTAGGATCTTAATGTGGTACAGTGAAGAGAGAACACATCAAATATGCAAATATTTAATAAAAACAAACAGCATATTGGTTCTCAAACTTCCAGTGGTTAAACAGAATAAAAATATACCCTTATGGCCCAGCAAGATGACTCAGCAGGTAAAGGTGCTTGCCACCAAGACTGACAATCTGAATTCAATCCCTAGAACCGACATGGTAGAAGGAGAGCATTGACTCCCACAAGCTGTACTCTGACTTCCCCATGTGTGTCACAGCATATGTGCATGTATCCTCTTCTCTCTCTCTCTCTCTCTCTCTCTCTCTCTCTCTCTCTCTTTCTCTCTCTCTCAAGTTAAAAATATATACATCCTCATGTTCATTATCCATCGTAAGGGGTAGAGCAACATTAAAAGACAGACTTAGTTAATGAACAGGATGGACCTTTTGTGCCTTCCTTCCTGTTCAAAGGCATTTCATTTCTAGAGAAGATAGTGGAGTGAAATTAATTTTGAATTTCTAGTCAGAATCAAGGCATCAAGAATCAATAAATATAACTTTTAGTTATTTTCCAAAATAATCCCTTCTAAAATAATCATCTGGTAAAACTCTAAGGTACAGAAGTCCAAATGACAAAAAGATGACACTATAATAATCTGGAGGACACACTTCATTCTGGCTAAGAGGAAGACTTCTGAAGCCACATTGCTGGGCTCGCAGCCCAGCTCTCTCACTTACTATGTCTCGACTCTCAGTTTCTTCATATGGAAAACAAGGAAGACAACATAACAAATTCAAAGATAACGTGTACCATGCATGTGTATCTTAAACCACATCTGGGACATGGTACATACTATGCAAGTATTTGCTATTTTGAGTAATAATGATAGCAATATTAATAGATGTGATTAGTGAGTGCCTACTGAGTTCACAGCAATACTACAAACCCTTTGAACAACTACACCATGTATGCACTACAGGTTGGATACAGTCTGTCCCTCAAAGATTGACATACTGGAAATGTGGAATCTTTATGAAATGAGTCATAGAGGGCTTCATGCTCACAAAAGGATTGGTGCTTAATTGAGGATTAATTGCAGAGGGTGTTGGTCCTTTAGGAATGGATTAGATCCCTCGAGAGTAGACTATTACAGAGCAAGGCCACATTGTGTGCTTGGCTCTTCACCTTCTGCTTCTCTGCCATACTATGATACAGCCTGAAGGTCCTTTGAGAACAGTGACCTGCTGCTTAGACTTTACAGCTACAAGAATCATCAGTCAAATAAACCTCTTTCAGTCAAATTAATATCTATTCAAAGGTAAACCTTTGTCAGGTAATTTCTTATAGCAACACTAAACAGACTAAGGTAATGTAGATTATCACTGCATTAAAGAAAGAAAGAAACATAAACTCATGAGAGTGAATACACTTCTCACAGTAAAACAGATAAAGGTACCAGAGATGAGGTCCAACTTGTCTGACTCCAAAACATATTTCTTTCTATTAGATTAAGCTCTCTCTAAAAGAACTTGATTAAGATTAAAGGGGTGGAGGTTGGGTAGAGAAAAGGAAAAACAAAGGGAAAAGACAGAAAAGACAAAGGAAGGAAAAAGTAATATGATATTAGGCAACAGAAAATGGTTATTTTTCCAAAACTAAAATAAATTAATTTTAGTAGAGATGAGCCATTTACTCTGTGTATGTGTGTGTGTGTGTGTGTGTGTGTGTGTGTGTGTATGTGTGTATGCTCATTTGAGTTGGAGACTGCACATATTAAGAAAGTTGACCACTGAGCTACATTCCCAGCCCAAATCTGTTTAATATATTTTATTTATTAAAAATATCTTATTATTATTATGTGTATGAGTGTATTGCCTGCACGTATGTAAGTGCACCCATGTCATACAGTGCCCGTGGAGGTCAGAAGAGGGTGTTAGATCCCCTGGAACTGGAGTTATGGACAGTTGTTAGCTGCCATGTGGGTGTTGGGATTTGAACCCGGGTCCTCTGCAAGAGCAGCCAGTGCTCTTAACAGCTGAGCCATCTCTCCACCCCCTGTTTAAAGATTCACAGGTGGGATGAAATGGTAATTAGCTAATTAGTGATAAGCTGGCAGTTAGCAAATGAGCATATTAATCTAGAATACTTAAGACAGCCAGGCCATTAAAAGGAAAAGAACAGATAATTTTAACTCAACATCTCACATTTTTTATTAAGTGGGCCATATTTGATTTACATGTAAATACATAATTTACCAATGACAAAATATTTCCTTATGGGGACAAAAACATTCATAATCTTTTTATAGATGTTGCTTGTTTGCTATAAGCATTCATGATGTCCCAGACACGTACCTGCCCTTGGTGAGCCTTAAAAGGAACTTCCAGTAGGAGGGTCGCAAGTTCTGGACTTCCATAACAGCCTAGGATGATTCAGTTTGAGATTTCCTTTAGTAAATACAAATACTGCAGACTCTGCAGCAGCACCGTGCCTAGCTCTATCCACGTAGCTCCTTGCATTTTAAGTGATAGTGATGACAACAGCAAAACACACATTCATGTTTGTCAGTACCAAAAACCTCTGTAAATATGCTTTCAAGTAGACATAGTTTGAAATGATAACCAGTGAACAGTCATTGTTTTCCAGGAGTGTTAATTGAGCACCCATTAGAAACCTAACAACTCACTGACTAGAATGAGTATCAATCTGGCAGCATTACTATGAGAAAGAACAAAGAAAAGCCACCCCCAAACTTTGTGACAGCCTGTAAAGTCCCAATATCAATAATAATTACAGCACTCAAAGAGATTAAGCAATGCTGTTATCAAACTAGCTCCTTCTTATTCTCATTCCCTGAGTAAAGTAAGGGGATGTTAGGAATGCAATCAAGCACATTTATACTTATGGTCTCTTTCTCTGGAAGAATAATTACAGTGGGGCATTCTACCTGCCATAACGGGTTATGAATTTACCTATCCACACATTCTACTTAAACCTAAAAACTGGTTGTGTTTAATGCTTTGAAACATGAAAGCCACGTTGCTGAAAACAAAACAAAAAATAATGAAATATAATCAATAGGAATGTTTCTATACTTTTGTATCTTCCCCACTGGCTTAATGTAAATTAGGAATAGAAATTCCTGCTTATCATTTCAAGAGATGTACTTACTGCATGGAAACAAATTGCTGTAGAAATGGAATAGATGATAGTGTCTGCCTGAGGAAAATAGGGGACCTTTCCTGCTTCAATGCCTTTGAAATACATGGTCTGCAAAACAAACACAACATGGCTTTACATTACAGCGAAAATTTAAGCAGCATTAAAATGTAACTCAGCACTGTATTCCACAACTACAACTGCTTTAACCCCAACACTTCCCTCCCAGCTCAGATCACGAAAGTGTGAAAGTCAGCACTTTCCTCTTCTTGATCCTTCAAACTCCAGCTTCAAATAGCAATATTTTTTTGGTATGAAATTGAATAGCACTTTATTTCTACTACTTTTATGTCATTTATTCTTAGATGCGTTTGCAAATGCTTCAGTCCTCTCTTCCCTAGACTTGTTCATTCATTCCCTCCTTCAGTGAAGACTTAATGGTTTCAACAATATGATGAATGGTGTTAGGAGGGAGGGATTTAGAAATGGCAAAATATAAAAACAACAGATATAAGCAATGCATTCCAATGAGAGCTGCAAGAGAGGCAGAACTATATGTGAGATACACATATGTAAATTATATATTATATATTATTTGGCTCCCTTGATGATAAAAAGGACACAGAATCAAGAAGAATTTCAAAAAAGATTAATTTCAGTAGTGTTTCTCAAGTTACCTGGTGGTCAAGAACTTTGTTTTTCTTTAGCTTAAAATTGTCATGGACTGATCCATTTATAATACAATAAAATGAATTACTAGGAAAAATTTAAAAAACAGAATTGAACCAAATTTTCACTGAGATCCAAAAGATAAAACATTACTCTGTCTAATTACTACAAAAGTTCCCAATGCTATCAATTACTACAGTACCTTGTCATGCAGTGGCAGTAAATTAGTATGCTGAGCATACATTTTAACAGTACTGCCTTATACCATGGCATAAGATCAACAACTGGATAGGAGAAAAACTGCAGGAGTAACAAGTAGGCATGAATACACACACACACCCATGCCTCCCCACACAGACATGAATACACACATGCATCCACCCCTCCCCACACAGACATGAACACACACACCCATCTACCCCTCCCCACACAGACATGAACACACACACCCATCCACCCCTCCCCACACAGACATGAATACACACACCCATCCACCCCTCCCCACACAGACATGAACACACACAGACACACACATACCCTTCCCCACACCCTTCCCCACACAGACATGAACACACACACTCATCCACCCTCATCCCACACAGACATGGATACACACACCCACCCACCATCACCCCACAGAGACATGAATACACACACACACACACACACACACACCCCTCCCCACACACATACACACACACACACTTCCCCACACCCTTCCCCACACAGACATTAATATACATTCATCCACCCTCTCCCCACACAGACATGAATACACACACACACACACGCACCCCTCCCCACAGACATGAATACACACCCACCCACCCCTCCCCACACAGACAGAATACACACATACACACACCCTTCCCCCAAACAGTCATGAATACACACCCATCCACCCCCCCCACACACACACAAAGAGACAGAAAGAGAGACAAAGACAGAGACAGGGAGACAGAGGCAGAGAGATGGGAAGGGGTGAACTGTCAACACATGTTCAGAACAGGAGAAATTTATAGCAATGGGTTTTCTGGTACATGAGAAAGTTGAACTAAAAAGAGAAGTGGGAAAAAAAAGCCAAAGGAGACTGATGTTCCCATAAGGCGGAAAGGTTTAGGAACATGTGGGTAGTCCATGAAATAAAGAATGTAACGAAAGGAAGCTATTAGTAGACCTATAGCAACAGCCAGTTGATCAAGGATCGAAACCTACAAACCTTAAAGCAGAATAGCGCTTTTCTCTTTATAGGTTTATTTATCTCACATTTTATTATGGTGGCACAGCATTCTGACATAAAGCTAACTTCAACAATGGGAAAATAATTAATACTACACAATTTCAATTAATTTCATAAGCATGCCGTAAGCTTAAATTTTAAAATTTTCATTAAAATGTGCTCATCAGCACACTTCACATGTCAGTTTGTTTCACCAAGATCATTTATAACTGATGACACAACCCCACTGCTTGACTTGCACCTCAATACTACTCTCATCCTATACCAGAGAATATATTTTTCTACCCAGGTTATATTTTATTTCTCACTCTTCTTTTTCAGTCGTAAGACTTGCCAACTCTACTCAACATTTGCTAAATCTGTGTACTTCCCCTCAACTCGACTGCTATAACTTGGAAGCCACCATTGCCTTCCAGGCACGATGACCAGCCTGACATCCAGCCCTGCCTCCTAAAACATTCTCTATAGAAAAGGCAGAATGTTTTTCTTACAATGTGAAGTAAACCATGCCATTGCATTCACAGAACTCTTCAGGGGCTTCCATCCTGACACTTTTGTTTTCTTTTTGAGACAGAGACTCATGTATCCCAGGTTAGCCTCAAACTTGTTATGTAGTCAAGGCTGGTCTTGAGCTCCTGACTACTGCTTTCACCTACAGTGCTGACAGTACAAGCATGTGGCCCCACAACATTCTGCAGCTCAATGCAAGAGCCAATCCCAGCAACGATCATTAATGGCTACTCAAAGTATGAGGCAAAAGGCTGTTGAATAGCCTACTGCTGGCTCCATCAGCACCCGAGCCCAACAAGAAAGAAACCAGATATTTCTGTGGTTCCTAAAATGATAGAATGTTCACATATAAAATCAGCATATTTCTGCTATCCTACCCATCACGCCCAAATCAAACTCGAGTTCTTTTAAGCTTTTAGGTCTAGTTAAACAGTTTATAGAAAACCTATGCACTTAAAGAACTATCAAAGAAGGAAAGCACATAGGCAGAGAGAGAGGAGGGGAGGGAGGACAGAGAGTGAAAGAGAAGGAGAGGAAAAGGATAACTACGTAATGTAGTAGAGACTGTGCATGATTCGGATAGAGAGGAAGAGAAGACTGAACAAACACACAAGACAGGGCAGAGAAGAGCACGCGAGTTGGTCATGTGATGCTAACTAAGGAAGTAGTAGGTTTTTCTAAAGGTATGAACAATGGCACTATGGTATACTCTGAGTATTGTTGATTTGCTTTTAAGAAGTATTTACCCTGAGTTTTTATAGATGACATGACATAATATGTGGGATTTGCTTTAACATGGTTCAATAACCAGGGTTTGTAGACTAGAGAACACAGACCCTCTCCAGATGCTGATGGTCACTGACACTGAATGACAGGCAGATGGGGACTGATAGAGTATTCTTCCTTCATTGTGCATATTTTTAAAATTTTGTTTTTATTGAATTTTTGTGCACTTCATACAGAACATCCCAATCAATCTTGATCATCTTTTACTCCTATCCCCACTGACACCCTCCCATAGCCCCCCATTGGAGCCCATATACTCTGTCATCTCTGATAAGTCCCACTGTGTTGTCAGTGTCCCCAGCCATTCCCCAGTGCAAGTCCATCCACTGAGGTCTAGTCAGCCTATCTAGAGTCCCTTGTTTTAGGAAGATCAGCTCTTCTTCGTCTAGCAGCAATCAGTCACCAACATTCCTTCAGATAAGATTGAGGTCTGCTGTTCACTTTCCCAGTTCTATGCTGGGTTTTTGTCTGCCTGAGTTTGAATGGGACTTGCGTATGCTGACACCATTGCCATAGAATCATATGAGCAGGGTCCCAGGAGCTTGTAGGACTCTGTTTCCATATATTCCCACACTTCCCCACTGGCTCTTACAATCTTTCCACTCCTTCTCCCACAATGGTCCCTGAGCCCTGGGTGAGTGAAGTTTAATAAAGGAGTCCTGTCCAAGGACCAGCATTCAGCAGACTCTTGATCTCTACACTTTGGCCTTTTGTATTCCTGGCCCTCCACTGCATAAGAAAGCTTCTTTAATGAGAGCTTGATGGTCTCCCAGATCTTGAAGGTAAGACCCTACTGCTGAAGACTGAACATACTTTGGACACAGGATTTGGAGCAGCAGAGTTGCAAATGACCTGAAAACACTTCTCCTGAAGGCTAGCTCTCATAGCTTTGGAGAGTGCTATGAAGGTATCAAATTCTCACTGTGCATACTTAAAATAGCACAGTAACACACAGAAGACAGACAGATGGGGAACCGACTTGTCAATAGTTTGATAGAACTGGAATCTGCTTTGGGGATATATTCTGGCCACTAAAGCATAGTTACAAAAGCTTTGCATCTTTTACAACCTTCCATGCATAAAATTTTTTGCTTACCTCCACTAATTTGGAAGCTAAATACATGGAAATTGTTGTGCTTTTATAAAACATCATTGATACACCTGCCAAAAATCCTGAAACAACAAATAAGGAAAACTTGATCAGATTGCAAATTATTTTTGTTGTTAAGGCATCAGAAATGTTAATTCACACAAATAGGAAAAAAATATGCTTTTCGCTCTGCCTTGTTAAAATAAAACACAAGGAGTAATATGTCTGATGACATTAAAATGAAGTGAATCCTTATTCCGTGTTTTCAAATTAAAAATCTGAATTTAGCCTGGCATGGTGGTACATGCCTTTAATCTCAGCAGAGATACGTGGATCTCTGTGAGACCGAGGCCAGTCTGGTCTACAAAGTGGGTTTCAGGCCAACTGGGGCTATAGGGAGACTCTGTCAAAAAAAAATCTGATCTTCGGAGTTAGGAACAAACAGAAGCTGTGTCCTATATATAACTAGAAGCCTCAAACCTGAAGAGCATCAGTCTTGCCAAATACAATTTTTAAAAATAATGCTTAAAGGCCATTGGTATCATGTCTTACTCAAGTGGGGATACTCATCCACCTGACCCGGTCCAGCTCCAGTTCCCTTCAGTGTGGCCATCACACTGCTCATCACAGCATCACTTTCACTCTACAAATGGAAACTAAGGGGTCAGGCTGGAAGTCTAATGGCCTATTTACAATGAGTAGTAAATGCACTGTACTTCAGAAAACAAACTCGTGCTTTTATTTTTATAAAAAAACAAGTGCCTTTAAAGATTAAGTATGTCCTTTCCCAGGACATATTTAGAGAATTAAGAATTTAGAATTAAGGAAATCTACTTGAACTTATGTTTATAACATATATTTTAAGTCTTTGTATTCTCTTATGACACATCCTCTAAGATTTCTGGCCTTGATACTTAAGTTATTATACTGCCAACTCAAGAGAGCAGACAGCAGGAGCTTTGTGCCTTGACTCATCTAACCTCACAGACTTGGTGAGAGGGCCTCCACAGGGATTCTATGACAATAGAGAAAAACAGAGACAGGGATGGCTTTCTTTCCTACCACCAGTGTTTACAATGATTGTCATTCTATTTATTACTGATTTACCAGCCACAATAGCATGGAGTTCATCATCCAGGTTTCTAATCCACCTCAGGAAGCAACTGGTTCCCTGCATTAAGAAAGTACAATTGTCTCAGTTACTTTGTTTTTGAGAAAAAAAAAAATTGCACTGAAACAAAAACCACAATGTGGGACTCACTGGAAGACTTTGATCCTATGTGAAATACACGGGATACATGATTGGGAAATTTATTTATTGCTCTGAGTAGATGCTATTAGGATTACATGTCACATTTTTATACTGATTTTCAAAAGTAAACCCATAAATTCTCCTCTCTAACTACAGGACATGGAGGAAAGTGTCACTTCTACAGTAACAAAGGGGGGAAAAAAACATAGATAAATTACACATCTGTCAAGCCAGAATTCTAGACCCACAGAAAGTATTTTTAACACTGAAGATGAAATAAAGAACTTTCCAAAAAGAAAATTCATCACTAGCAGAACCAGACAAGCAGAAAGGCAGCTCTTCAGTCAGAAGGAATATGATATCATAGAAAACCCCAGATCTATAAAAAGAAATGGAGAGCTCTGAAAATAGGAGAATAAAGGTAAATTTAGAAGACATGTTGTCCTTATCTTTGATTAGTTAGCCAAAGCAAGGTCCAAAATTATGGTCCATTAGCTAAAAACAGCTTGCCATGTGCTTCCTATGGCTCAGGAACTAACCCTGGCTTTTGCTGTTTGTTTGTTTGTTTGTTTTGTTTCTTTTTGGAGAGTGAGCCTGGCTATACTGCCAGGGAGATCTGGAACTTCTGGGCTTAAGCAATTCTCCTGCCTCAGCTTCCAGAGTAGTTGAGACTATACAGACAGGTGCTAAAATGAAAGCTTTTAAAACTGTATTTTTATAGTCTTAAATGGATAAAAAAAATAAAAAGAACGACAACATTTTATGATGTGAAAATTATGAAATTCTAACTAAGGTGTAATAAGTTTTACTGGAACACACCATGGTCACTTGTGATCACATTGCCTACGGCTTCCTTCTCAAATCACAACCAAAACTGAGTGGTTGTACCACAGACCCCATGATCCAAAGCCTCAAGTATTTACTCTCTGACTCTGTACACAAGTCTACTAACAATGAACGGTGGAGATTTAAAATATATAAAGATAGATGCGCACCACAGGGGCTGGGAAGAGGAAATTCAATGTATAGCACTGTAATATTTTTACACTATACATGAAGTATTAATACTATTGAATGTTTAGCTGATAAATTAAAAAAAACACAGACTCCAAATGCTTAGGTAAATACTAAGTTACAAAAACAAGTATTAATAACAGGCCAATAGGAAAGATAAAATGGAGCCATTAAAAATACACAATCCAGACTAAGGAGAAAGGGGAAGAGAAGAGGGAAAAGAAGGAAAAATGAAAACAAACACAAAACAAGTAGCAAAAAGGTAGATGGTAGTTGAGTCATACTATAAATGCCTTAAATGTACATAGTCTAAACACACCAATTAAATTACAGAGATTATTAGAATGGATTAACAAGAACCAGACCTAGGTGGCTCATACATGTAATCCCTGCACTTGGGAGGCTGATGCAGAGGGATTGCTGTGAATTTAAGGCCAGGCTGGGCTATACAAGGAGAGCTTATCTCAAAAGGAGCAAAAAAGAAGAGCCAATTATTTGCAGTCTAAAAGAAACCAACTTCTAAAATGAAGACAGAAAGGTTAATGTAAAAAAATAGAAACATGCTTACAAGTCTACCTAAAATGACACAGTTTATCACTTAGAATGTGAATTTAAATTTAGAAACTAAGTTTTCAATAGTCAATCAAATATTTTAGCATGATTAACACATTCATGACCCCATTAAAAAGAAGGCATCTCTCAATGTTACAATGTTTTAAGAATGATCTCTATACATATGCTGACACGTGGGTTTGTCTATACAGTGGCAAACTTGACAGGAATATACAAAAATGGGTGGAAGAATACCTACTCATTAATTCAGACAGTATGACAGCAATTATGAGCAGACAAAAAGTAAGTCACTGCTCACATGTTTCAACAGAATAGCTTTATAGATTCAGTCAAGTACTGGCATCAGCTAGAAAGACCTAAAATATGTTAAAACTAGTAACCAAGTACTAAGCACGATTAAGAAAGATAGACTGACAATATTATAACCTTTTACATAGGAAATGTTACAAATGCATCTTCTCAGAATATCTATATATTTAAACTAAAAAACATCATTGAAAATATTATACATAAGTGCATTATGGCTATAAATTCAAACATACTAAGTAACATTCTAAAAAAAAAAATTCTTTAATTCCTTCCACCTGAATTTCCAACATATTGTATACATGTGGTGATGGCACAGAATTTATAAATACTCCAAAAAGCAGCTTAAATAAATAGCAGATGTTGTTTATTTCTTGTTTTCGTTTTTTCTTCTAAAGCACTCACCTTGTATATACTAACAAAAGAGCCAAGAAACGCGCCCAACTGGAAGTTCTCTTTGTTGTAGAAGAGAGAAAGCAGCCGGGAAGGCTCTGTGAACAGATGCCGGAATGCAGAGGGGACTCTGAGACAGCACTGGATCAGGTAGCCCACGCTGAACATTCTGATGAAGCCCTAGACAAAATTGGGAAGGATTTCTCATTTATAGTCAATTTTGAGAGAATATGAATTTTAGTATCTAAAAATCAAAGCAAAATTTAAAAAAACCATTTAGTACAAAGTTGTATCTTAGCAATTTTCAAAATAAACTCTTACAAACTCTATGATTTTTTTAAATTACCTTAAAAATTAGGGTAAAATTTTGGAGTGACTATACTTTCTTTGACTCACAAACACTTACAAAGCACAAATCAAACTTGCCTATGCATCAAAATTCTATGTCTTGACATTTTCTTGACAATAGCCAGGATTTTAATTCCTAAACCACAATGAGTTTTAGAAACACAAGCATGGAAATTTCAAAATATAGTCAATGCTTTGGGAAACTGTTACAGAGAGCCCTGTTTGATCATCAGTACAAGTACAGATTTTTTTTGACAGAAAATAATTTCATTATTTGTTTGGAGTTTTAGTATCAAAATTTTAAATGACCCAGTTAAAAGAATTTCCTAGGAGAGCGTAATTATATCTAGGTTTTTATTATTGTATGCAGTGAACCAGACAGACACGAGGAAGGGCTGCTTTACAGTCTACAAGTTCAACTTGAAAGTTCGCTGTACGCTTTCAGGCTCCCTGTCTTCCCTTCACCGGAACAGAAATGCCCCACATCCCTGCTGCCTAACTTCTAAAGTCAAGTTTGTATTTTCCAGATTCCAACTTTCTTTGCTAGAAAAAAAAAAAATGAACTGCTATGAAAATGTACCAATTAAATTTTTAAAAACTACCTTGTATCTGGAGAAAACATGGAAATTAAACTGGCCAGTCATGTACTGTGAATTACCATTGTTTAACTAAAACTGTCCAGCATTTGTTTGATACAGAAATTATCTCACTTTTATCTTGTCAACAACTCCTTAACAGTAATCTAGTGACTCAGTTTTGACAATCAGGCTAATTTTCTCTTCCAGTTTTCCAAAGATAACCAATAAATACATTTTTGGAAAAATTCATTCAATTATACTTCCATGTATTCAGAAAATATTATTTGCTACCTATTTTATTCCAATAGTTACATCAGATGTGGGGGGCATGGCAGCCAAGATCAAGCTCTTGCCTTTGTGGAACTTTACATGCTCATTATGAAAAGAGAAAATAAGTGAGTAGACAAATGAATATAACATAATTACAAAGTATAAGTGTCACAAAGGAAATGATCAGGCCATTGGGATAACTTGTAACACACTAAATAGTAAAGAGAGGCTACTGAGGACCTGACAGTTAAGTAGACCCCAAAGAAAAGATCATGAGAACATTCCACTCATCTCAGACAGAAAGCACAGAGCCAATAAAGAGGTGGGCAGGAACATGCTCCTGTGAACAGCAACCACTGGGCAAAGAAGATGCAAGTATAGTGAGTCGAGAATGTAATTAATATGGATATTTACTCAGAGATGTGGCTTAACATGCGGTATAATCAAATCTATATCCTAATGAGGTGCCCTGTCAAAAACTTTACTATTTTCATACTGTACATGGATCCAGGAGTCTCCAAATAGTTTGTAACATTCCAATTCATAAATTTCCAAGTTTATAATACTGGCACATATTTGAAAGAATTGCTGCTTTTTTGACTGCTTGGTAATTTTGACTTATTTTTTTCTCAGAAAATGGTTCATATCACCTTGCCACCCCATACCTGAGTTTCCTCTTTGACTACAATTCTGTTGTTAGAAAGAATTCTCCCTTTTTTGGAGTCAGCACATTCTGCCTGTGTTGGTGGTGGTGTTGCCACTTTTTGGGCAGAGTAATCAGAAACCACTGCACAGTACAAAAGGTATTCTACTGTTTTAGTCCTGGTCATAGTGTGGGATTCTGATGTGAGTGTGGTGTTGGGTGACTGTCACTGTCAACGCTGAGCCCTTGGCATTCACACTAACAAACACAGATGGGGAAGAAAGCCGCCTCTCTATATTGGGGTAGTGTACAACTCAGCTCTTCCCATCATCAACTGTGGGGGAAATGAAACCATACAAGAAAGAACAGTAACTTCTAAAAGCACTGGACTTGTGAGCACCATTCAAAGAGAAGAGAAATGCAGCAGGTGGTGCCGCCTGTTCTACACTCTACAGTGGAAACACTCTTCCAGGGCTGGTGATGAAAGAGAAGGAAGTAGGGGAGGCGGGAAGTATAGTTTCACACTATAACTCAATTACCCTAGAGAATAGGAAATTTATTTATGCTAGTGTGCATAGCTAACTTTCTTAATGTAGAATAACTTGAGCCAAATTCTAGTTAGCTACATGCCTTTTAAAAAATATGACAGACTTAGCAATTCAAAAAATAGGTATCACTGTTCCAAACTGAACAATGTGTATGCAATGTGTCACCCTGAAGATCTGGCTGGGACAGCACACGGTCCAAGGGCCTGTTCTAGGGTATATCTCTAATGAGGACGGCTTACAATCATAATGGCCTTGTCTCTTTGGTTGTCACCTTTCATCTCTCTTACTTCCTTAGGTTTAGGTTAAGTTAATTATTGCTACAGTGGTGGGTGCTGGACATGGGTCTCCTGCACGTTAGACCTGTACTCTAGCTCTGTGCTACAGCTCCAGCCCCCCCAAAAGCAATTTTTAAGCAAATTAATTTTTAAATTGAACTAAAAATCTCGTAAGTGAAAACTATATTATCTATTGTCACAAAAGTCACTGAATCAATGCAAAAAAAAATGATACCAATATTAATGTGAACTTTTCTAGTTACCAGAAAAGTATTTAATGGAGAAATTATTTCAGTATATAGTCTTCTTTGTGGGAAAAAAGTAGACGCCTTCACAGACTTACTTTAATGCAGTAAGAGATGCAATTATCTTCATAATGTTTGCAGCATCTATGCCTTGGTCCATGTTTGCATCTAAAACCAAACCCCAAAAACAAAACAAATTATTTTTGAAGTACATATGTGTATGTATATATCCCTGTGAGCACAAACACACACATGTATAAATGCATGTGTGTGCTAATGAATCTATTTAAAATTTCCTAACCAATAAAGGGGAAAAAATATTACCACTTCTTTCTAGGGGGTTGAAACTTTTTTTATGACATCCAGAAGCAAGGGTAAGAAAGGTTTTTGTCTTTGTTGCTCACACATTATACATAAGTGACTACAATCAAAATACCTGAATATGGAATAAAGAAACATTGGCAAGCATTTGTGACTAAACATGAAAAACATGCATCTAACCATCTATATACACCACCAAATTATGGAAGCTTTAAATCTCCTATTGCAGAGTATGACGGTCATAAATCATCCATGAAGCCAGTACTTGAGCAAACATCATAATGAGAATGTGCTCATATTAAAGGAATTTATACTTAATTATATTTGAGAGAAAACATCTGGAAAAGAAACTTGATAAAGTGTTACAATTCAAAATTTTGTTTTAAAAAATAAATATGGAAATAAAAATCATGTGGGAAGTCAGAAGTAGGTTATTTGTGATTTGATTGTAAACCACTTAAACCTCCAGTTTCATGTAAACATTTCTGCTAGGAAGACTACCGTTCTTGCCGTACACTGACTCTAGCTGTTTGTTCATCATGGTGTAAAAATGTAGGTGGACTAACATGGGTCTAGATCTCTTTCTTTCTCTCCAAAGTTGTCCCCTTTCATACCAAGTAGCCATCATAAGTTTTCAGACTAGTTCATTGTTTTCATGGTAGGAGCACATAAACTCTTTCAAGGGTATGACAAAGCATGTAGAGAAATGCTCTAGCTCTGTACCTCTCCAACCCCATTTGCAAATTGATTACTAGCAAGACCTTTCAGAAAAGCACTTTTGCACTGCAGCTGGATTACAGGGGCAGCCTGTCCTAGTCAAAGGCGACAGCATCAGTTCATTCCACCCGCATGTCATTAGAATGATATGCCGTATCTGTCCCTGTGGAGTTGCTGAGTGATTAACGCTGAAGGCTTGAAAAGGCTTGAACCAGAGGCTCATACCTCGTGCAAACCATCACTCTTCATACTTCTAAGTGTCCTCTTCAAAGTCAGCTCCAGTTTTGCTACTGCAGCTCACAGGAATCACTAAACTCTCTTTTGCCAGCAAAGTTATATCCTGATACCATCTGTACTGTCACCTGATCTTTCCTTGGTCACTCGTGAGAATGGCTCCTAAGTCCTAGACTACCAATCTCATATTATTGGCTTTCCTTCCCTTCAATAAGATTCTGCAACTGCTGCATCCCAGTGGCTCAGCTGTGTCTGTTATGACCTGCTCAGTGCTGATCCCCAGGAGCCATGCATCCTCGTCTGTTCTCCATGTTCCCTTCACATTACTCACTTTCTCAGCAACTTTCACAAAGGCAGAGCTCTCTTTCCTCTTCACTAAGATGACCCATAACTATTTCTGAACTTGCTTAATGAGTTCAATGCAATGTTTGTTCCTGACATCTACAATTCCTTCTTTTTCTCATATTTTCTATGTGCAATATAGAGTAAAAGGAACACAAAAGTTCTGAATTCAGTAAAAATTTGAATTCAGTAAAAATCCACTCTGTGTCTATATATTCTACCAGGCAAATTTACATGTGGTTTTTCATTTGATGCTCATTAATAGGGACTATTAACCTGAGGTAACAGTCAAGGACTTTGAGAAAAAGGCTACTTCAGTCACTTGCCAAAGTCACAACGCTGTTAGAGGCAAAATAAGAGTCCAAGGTAGGGGGGCTGGAGAGATGGCTCAGTGGTTAAGAGCACTGGTTGCTCTCGCAGAAGGCACAGGTTTGGTTCCCAGCACCCACATAGGGGCTAACAACCACCCAAAACTCTAGTTTCAGGGGATTCAATGCCCTCTTCTGACTTCCGTGGTCACTGCATGACATGGGTGCACTTACATACATGCAGGCAATATATACATAAAATAAACTCAGACACATAAAATAAAATATTTTTAAAAGAGTCAAGGTAATTTTTCTGTTTTCTTTCTACAAGTGATCCCTTTTCCTCAGTATGGCCTACTTGTCCTGTCCTCTCTAAAATGTCACTACTATGACTGTCTCTGTTGGCTGAAGTCATAATTTTTAAACCATTACATTTATTTTTATTAAATGCCTACACTAAAATACCAAAGAATGCACAAAATATAGATTTCTTTTTCTGTGTAACATTTTTTTTTTAAACTTTAGCCTAGGGCCATCTATCTTTTTACTGCTAGAAAATGTCCTTTACTTAGAGCTAGAGCCTCACTGCTCCTGTGTCATCTTGACTCTCACAGCAACTTTTTCCCTCTCTTTCCCAGTCTGGCAGTCACTCAGCACATGCTTCCCAAGGTTCTTCTTCATGGCTTCCTGTACTCTGCCCAGTGCAAATGGAAAAATATTTCAACTTAATGTAAATCTATTTTAAAGACACATGATAGTCTGCCATCCAATGAAAAAGAATGAGTAACATTCATTTGCAATCATATACCTTTTATATACTCTAGGCATAGGTTTGCTGGGGAAGAAAGGTGTAATACATCACCTGAACAGAAAACAGCACTGCCCTGACACAGTACAGATGCCATATGAGACAGTGACAAAGTACGCAAAATGTCAAGATAAAGAACGCACATGGAATCCACAAGCGTCCTAACTAAAGTCATTAGCTTCGTTCCTCGGGGCTTCCCTTTGTGTTTCTCCCTCTTTGGTTCCACTTTCGCATATGCTGTTTCTGGCGAGTTAGAATGTGTGGGAATTTCTTCCTTGCCTACAATGAACCTGAAGAAAAGAACAAAATGTCCTGTGATATATTCCTCTGTGGAAAAAAAAATCAGTAAGAAAAAAACGTCATTTATATACAGATATGTATTTGTCTATATGGAGAGTTTCTTAAATTAGTACTTTTATAACTTATATAAAATAATATTATACTCTAAAACAGATTTTCAAAATCTGAATACTCAGAAAATTTTAATGGTCATTTTATCTGACATAGAAATATATTCAAAATCAAACTAACAAAGTAAAATATAACACAATACTTCTATAATGTAGTCTTTAATTTACACAGAATGCCAGTTTTTAAAATACTTTTGAGTTTTTCTGCATTTCATATAATAGATTTTAACTGAATTTAGATAACCTTTCCTCATTCCTCCCATAGCGCCCCCCCCCAACACACTGAATATCATGCATTCTGTCATATATGTTAAGTCCTATCTGGTCAAGCTTTTGTACCCAGATGTCCTTAGATGCATGTTCAGCCACTGGAGTCTAGTCAGCCTATCTAGGGTAACTCCCTTAAAGAAGATCAACTCTCACTCACCCTACAGTACTTAAAGAAGATCAACTCTCACTCACCCTACAGTACTGGCAACAGTTCTTCAGCTAGGGTAGGGGCCTGCTGCTGATTTCCCTTGTTCTATGCTGGGTTTTTGTCTGACTGAGTCAGCATGGGTCTTGTGCATGTTGTCACCATTGTTACAAGTTCATATGAGCAAGTTCCCTGGGGCCTGAAAGTATCTGTTTATTTTCATGCACCAACCCTGGCTCTCACAATCTTTCAGTCCTCTCTTCCACAATGATGGCTGAGCCATAAGTAGGTAAGGTTTAAAATAGGAGTCCTATCCAGTGACACATAGTCTTCAGTCTCTTATTTTCTAAAATTTGGCCAGTTGTGGCCTTCTGTGTAAATTGCACTCTGTTGTATGAGGAAGTTTTGCTAGTGAGAACTGAGAGATGTATTAGTACCCCCCCCCCGCCATTCTGCTATATTTCATGAACCTGAAGTGTAGAGATTCCACTGTAGATGTGTCACTTGGGGCTTGGCATCTCTCACATATATATTCTCTGCATGTGGCCAGTTGGGGAGCTCTATTATAGCCTCCATCAATTGCAAAAAGAAGTTTCTTGCTGTATGCTAAATATGGATCCTTATATTTATAGACAAGTAGACCTTATACCGCTCATCAAAGAACGTCAGTTTTTAAAGTGTTGCATGCCGTAAAATTTTTCAAAACAGGCAGGTCAATTTGGATCTGTGGGTCAATCACAAAAATTGTATTTTATTTTTACAATTACAATTGAATTGTTTTCTCATTCAGAGTAAAACTAAGTTTATACCTAATGAAATCTTGAGTGGTAAATAGCTGCAGTACAGTGGAAGGCCCTAGGAAAACTGCCAGGATTGCACCTATCCTCAGATTATTTCATTAGACTCTAAATTCTGTTAGTCAATGTTTCTTAGGAAAAAATTAAATACATCTAGGATATGAAACTGTTCCTATTTTATCAAAGCCAGATAATGTTTTTCCAAAGACAATGCAATAAAAAATGTTACTGCAGCCAGGCGTGGTGGCACATGCCTTTAATTCCAGCACTGGGAGGCAGAGGCAGGTGGATCTCTGTGAGTTCAAGGCCAGCCTGGTCTACATAGTGAGTTCCAGGACAGCTGGGGCTACAGGGAGACCCTGTCTCAAAAAGACCCCCCCCCCAAAAGTTACTGCCATCAGACAACATTTGAGAAATGAGCTTTCAAGGAGTTTCATGTTTTGAACTGCACTGAAAGAGTCTTTGCTCTTATAAAGAATAGCTAAGCTATCCTAAGGAAACCCTACCTCCTGAAATTTCAGAAAGCGTATTCATATCTTAAATTTGGATTAAAAAATAAGAGGCTCAATAATACTATGCTGAAATTCTAGGTCTTGTGACAAGAAAAATATGAAAATTTAAGCGCTCAGAAAAAACAAAAACAAAAACAGAAAAAGCTTTTGTTACTATCAACAACTGACATCCATCCTATTATGGCAAACTTGGTAAAATATGCAGTTTTCAAATCACATGGTGTGCAAAGGGTTTGTTTGCCACCAGATGTCAGCTCTGACTCTGGCTGCTACTGTTCCAAAAGAATTTGCTCTTTACTTGAGGCTGTGCCTGGAGGGTTTAAGATCTGAATTCTGTTCTTTATAAGCAACTGGGATAAAACTAGAAGACCAATAGTCTCTCTCACGCCTATCATGATCTGCTGTCCTCTTGATGGGGCTGATGACCACACACTACAGGCCACTTTCTTGAAGAAGTTGTCCCAGTCTCTAGTCGGGGTGAATTAGTGCTATTTCACCTGTGGCCCTGCAGTCCCCCAAACCCTCAGCACTGTAAGTACCACTGTAGTAGTCTCCCTTCCCAGCTAGACAGTAAGGACTATAAAACTATGTCACTCTCCTAGTGATTATATCCCAGTGTCTAGAATAATACGTGGAGTATTAAAAATATTTAATTAAAATATTGAATGAATACTATAAGAACAAGCATTTTCTGAGTTCTAATTATGTGACAGGCACAGCGCCAACAAGCCTTTTATAAATGTTAATTGTTTAATCCTCACAGCAATACTACAGGTACCGTAATTCCCATAAGAGTTAGCATGAATAGGTATCCTATTTACAGAGTATATTGTCAGTAACTACTTGAACACAGAGCTGTCTGACTCCAAAATCTGACCTCTCAATCACTGAAGCATGCCCTTTCGTACATCTGTACATGGTTCTTTCCATGACTCCAGCTATTCCAATGGCTTCTACCACTATCTCTATAACTGGTGTTTTCTTAATCCTGCAGACAATTTCCAGGGGAAGCTTCCTAACACACAGATCTGGACTTGTTATTCTCATCATCTGAGAACTTCAGCAGCTTATGACTGAATCAAATACAAACTCGCGTTTAGAGCAGGGACTAGGCCTGAGTGAGTGCTAGTCCCAAGTTAGTGTTCCATACTGCAGTCCACAGATGAGATATGTCCTCTTTAGTCCACAAGACACTGCACCCTCCTGGACGCCGAGGCCTTCCTGCTGCCTTTCTCATCTGGCTCATTCGACATGTTTGCCAAGACCCTTCCTGTCTTTTAAAGTCATCCTCCTTACTGCCACACTCTTGTAGCTATCCTGTTTTCAAAGGAAAAAAACAGATGTCTGTGAAAGAATAGCACTTCTGTTATAGCATTTGGGCTTTTTTTTTCCCTCTCTAAGTAATTCTGTGCAATTTCCCAGCCTTCATCTGTCTTTATTCCTATCTACAACTTGGAAGGAGACACTAAGTTAGGTCTGCCTGAATTTTTTCCTGAAAAAGCGTGCACTTCTTTTACAACATTCAGCACAATTATAATTAACATTGTCTCCCCACAGTCTCTGAGGACGGAGACTAGATCTGACTCATTCACCAGTGTATTCTCAACACAGTACACATCTTAGGACAAAGTACAAATGAAGACAATAAATATCAAGTGATAGTGTAGTCTCTTACATGCTAAATGCTTTAAAAAACGAGCACTGAATTAGAATGAAGCTTAATATTCTAACGTCTTTTGCTCTGTGTCTAGTCTGGACATTAAACTAGGTCTGTGTATCAGTAGCTACACATTGATTAAGGAGACTTTTCCTCAATGAAATGATGTGCATTTTCATAATAGTGTGGTCCATACAGGACTAACACTTCCCCAGGCTAGTTATTGCTGGCGTTCACTTGCATTCACTTAATTCCCGAATGATGAGCATTCTCAACAAGGCAGTTTAATATTGCCAGAAAGTCATACTAAGTTTGGCCACAATATGCATTTTTCTATAATTAAGGCTAAAATTTTGTTTTTGACATATTATAAATTTATAGTATGTGTCTATAATAAAAATTAGGCAGTCGACAATGGAAAGATGCAGAGAAGAACATCATGACAGGTAATAATACTTTTGGAAGCTTCTAAGAAAAACATACATTAACTTATTGATTTTTAACAATAAAACTTGACAGTAAAAATAGCATCTAGGTCTTAGTACTAGTATTCTGAATATCATCTTTAAATATGAAAGTAACCAATATGCATACAGGCATTCTAAAATGAAATCAACTCTGATCAGGGGAAGAAGTACAATGTAAGCACAACAATCTGCAATGCGTAACGATTTCTTTAACAACAGTGCTTGTAACAAATAAACATTTCTCTAGAAGACTTTCCTATAACACAAAGGAAAATTTAAGTGTCAACAGTCCAGACTAGTCCTTGAGTAAGAGTGGATCTGAAGAAGAGATAGAGGTCTAGGGAGATGGCTCAGTGTTTAGGTATACTAGCTCCTCTTCCAAAGGATCCAGGTTCAATTCCCAGCACCCACATGGTAGCTAACAACTATCCTTAACTCCAGTTCTAGAGAATCTAACACCGTATTCTGGACTCTGAAGGCATTACACACACGATGCACTCAAGTGTATGTAGGCATAATACTCATACACATAAAATAAATATTTTTAAAAAGAAGAGATAGAAAGGTATCTGACACATTTTGAGTTTTTGCAAGGATTTGAGGACTCTTAGGGAAACAAGGCATAGTTTTTTCTTAAGAAAATCATCTTCTGGTTTTGTTATCAACTTTCAGTTAATGCACCATACTTTATCATCATTGGAAGGACAAAGCAAAAACTTATTTTCTAATAAATATCATGATTTCTTATGAAAAAAATAAGGCAACAAATTATATATGCACTATAATTTCAGAAGTTTTTGTTACCATAAAGTTTCCACAACCAAATCCAAAATTCTGATTCATAGTCTCCCCACCAGCACTTTCTCTCTCTCTCTCTCTCTCTCTCTCTCTCTCTCTCTGTGTGTGTGTGTGTGTGTGTGTAATGGGGATTGAACCCAGGGTCTCACACACACAAGGCAAGTGCTCTACCACTAAGCTCTGAAACACTCATGATCACACAGGAGCCTTTTTTTTTTTTCCCATTCCAAACCGGTTTCCTGTCAGGCCAGGTGATCTGCCATTAATACCAACTTCCTCTGAGTACCTGCCTGCACCTACCTCCCCCTCTCTCTCCCTCTCTCTCTCGCTCTCTCTCTCTCTCTCTCTCTCTCTCTCTCTCTCTCTCTCTCTCTCTGTGTGTGTGTGTGTGTGTGTGTAATGGGGATTGAACCCAGGGTCTCACACACAGTAGGCAAGTGCTCTACCACTAAGCTCTGAAACACTCATGATCACACAGGAGCCTTTTTTTTTTTTCCCATTCCAAACCGGTTTCCTGTCAGGCCAGGTGATCTGCCATTAATACCAACTTCCTCTGAGTACCTGCCTGGGCTTTCAATACTCAGCTGATAGGAGGAGAATAACAAAGAAGGAAAAACGTCACTCACTAGGGGATCATTTCCTATTTCCTTCTATTGATAACTGCTGTCTTTTCTCTTTAATCTTTTCATTATCACCTAAATCCAAGCATTTCTTTTGTCTTTCCTCCTTTGGTTTTCTATTTTTCAATGACTCAAATACTTTTTCTAGACTAGCCTTTCTGAGACATTGTTACCTACCTCATACCTCATTCAAAACTATTTAATGATTCTCAGCCCACTTTATCAAATCAAATCAGCCTTCTGCCCTCCTCATCCCCTATCACTTCTACTATCTGACTCAACCTGCCAAAAATATCTTTAAATTCCCTAAAATAGATCTTTATTCACTTCCACAAACAGCGCTCTTCTTTTTCAGTTGTACTTAGCTAAAGCTACCCCTTAAATGCATACCACCCATAAGATGAAGAGCCAAGATTCTGAATACTTATTGCTTGCCAGGCACTGCTTTCCAACACTATGCACTAGCTCATCTGATCCTCAAAATAATCATAAGAGACAATGGCATAAAAACTTCTCCTAGAACTGAAGCATACCCTAATTTTCCCCTCTAATACTTACAGTAAGCGCCACCACACTACTCTACTTCACTAATACTACTCTATGTGCTTCAGAAAATAAAACATGCAACACTTATGACATAAACTGAAAAACCATTGGTTTTGGAGTCAGTATATATTGTGAGATGTTAAATTAGTCAAACATTCAGAGCTTTGGTTTTTTTCATGGTGTCCAGGTGGGCATAAAAATCCTCCTCACAGAATGCTTGCAAAAATTTTAATGATTGAAAAAAATTTAATTAACTAGTCCATGAAAATGCTTTAAACTTAGTAACACCAATGCTATCTAACATTTATACAGCATACATAATGGGCAGATTACTGTGCGAAGAGATGAAGTAAAAAGAAAAGACTTTAGCAACACTAAGATGCAATGTATTTGTCAGTGCATGCATAAATCCCAGGCAGTTAAGTACTTCCATCTTTTCCTAAGGTTTCATTCACACAGCTTTGCCTTTCCAAGCTCCCTGACGAGAGTTCTTTTCTTTCTTTTCTAACATCCTAAAGTATAAGTCACAACAGGACCCCAAAAGTAGTAGTCATTGTTTGAATGATTTTTAGGGGAAAATGTCTAGTAAATTATTCTTTCAATAAACTATCCAAAAAGGCTTGGAAGTGCTTTTGTTACATTTAAAACTGTTGTCAGATTAAAAAGTAAATTAATAAATACTGTAATTGCATATTTTATTATTTTAAGAAAGTTAACTCATAACTTTTCTCTTAACAAGGATATATAAAATGTTACTTACCTAAGTGCAGAAAATGTAAATCCTTTCAAGCCATCTTTGCACCTAAAACAAAAATTTGCAATCATAAAATAACATGTTTTAAAATATGAAGTAGTATATTTGATGGCTTTTTTTTTTTAAAGTGGTTTAAAAGGTGAAATTTTTTGGTAAAGGTCTAAGTAAGCATTACAAATGGTCAAACAAGCAATCAGAAATGAAGCAAGCCACCTTTGTGACACAAAATGATTAATATAATTATGTCTGGTTTTACTATGGCTTATTAATCTAAGTTTGGGCTCAATCTTCAGCTCTATAGTTGAAGAGAGACTTAAGTCAATCTTCTAAGGGATGCATCTGGATTTAAAATGAAGGCTGGAAGTAAACATTCTTCATTCTGCCCAATCCCTGGGGGCTGATGTTCTGTGGAAAAAAAACACCACATACACTATAACACCACATATACTAGTTGAGTCTAACAACTATGTCAATCCAAGGTCCTGACTTCTTTCCAGTAATTCGTCGGATGCAGAGTAACAAAGAGCTAGCAGGCACAGAAAAGCTTCACGTTCAGTACAATGCTTTTACAAAACCTCCAGGTAAGCCAAACCAGAAGAGATACACAGAATGGCAAACAGGAGAGACAGGGAAGGGGGAGATGATTCCAAGCAGTACTTTTTGAATACTTAGGACTGCTGGGCAGTTGGGGCCATTAACTAGTGTTGTTTCATTTGATAATAATGTAGCTCTCTGTGTAGGCTTCCCTGCACATTGTATCTGCACAGGGGTAAAAACGGAAGCAACTTCACTTCATGGTGGTCACAAGGCTAACAGACGCACAGGAGTCACAGGTCCACTTGGGGAGGAATGTCATCTAACTGAAAAGTCAAGGTTTTCTTCTGTTCATTCTCATGAAATTGCAGTTTAAACTGAGAAAGATGCAGACTACCTAGTGATTTAGAATTAAAGAAAAATGAAAAACTCGGATTGACAGTAAACATAATCTTAAAGTAGGGACATTACTAATAGGGCCAAAGGCCTGTTATGCATGGTAATTATAACCATATGGAATCTTTGGTATACTCATTACATAAAGGGACTGTGGGTATTTATTACTAAAATCTTTTGAAGAAATCTATTGATTGGTGATGCAATGACGTTCTAATATATTTTAATATCAGATCTTGAATTAAATAAAATAAATGAGCATCTCATTCTGTATGTTATTTGTATGCTAGGTTACAAATGAAGTTTTAAAATATATCTCATTGGAGGTGATAAAAATCGGCAAAAAACTGTAAACCACGTGCAGATGATTTAAAACACTTAAGGTTTCATTTTGGTGAGGCAGCATGATCAACTTTGTGGTCATGTTAACAGTGGGAAATGTAACCAGAGAACGCAGGTAACACACTTTATAAATACACAGAGAATGGGCATGAAGTCAAAAGAATTCATATGCTAAGCTAAAAATGTTCTTGGGAAAATTACAGCATTAAAATTCTTAAACCTATCTTTTCTCCACCAGAAGAAAGTGTTGCATAGTAATTTAAAACCCATAATCTAGATGGGTGGAGTGGTGAGGGAGTGGGCTAGAGGTCTATTGACTGGAGAAAAGAAAGCAGTAGATTGAAAGAAAGCAGTAGATTGATTAAAAGATTATGTACATCTGGGAACAAATTCTGTCTTTGGTAGGTCATTGTTAAAAGATAGCCATTTATCTTTGTGCAGTGCTGAATAGATAAAAGATTCTGACAACTTGGTCTAGTCAGCACTGCGTATTTTTGACCCTGCACAATAAATTTAATTGCAGACCAAAACATCAAAAAGTAGCTTTCAAGTATAAAAGGGGCATATACAAATGAATTTGCAATTTCATTATGATGGAAGGTTGGTTCTTTCAGCAGAACCCTGTGGGAAGCACTTCATATTGGTAAAGTCTTAACATGGATTCAAAAGGCTATTCTTTCTTCCATTCATGTGTATAAGGTTTGTTAGTGTAATTGAGGGTCAGATGTCTGTGTCAAAAGAACAAAAAAGTAATTATTCCCATAAGAAGAATCTTTAAAATGTGGCCCTACATTTTGACATTGAGAGTATTGTGCAAGTCGTAACCTAACTATGAAATGTTACTGAAATCTATATTCAATGTAGAAGGTGTGATATAAAGATTTAAACAAAGTAGACCCATTAGATGGCGCTTCCCTTTACTATGGGTTTGGTAATTAAAATGTAGATAAAATTACTTTTCCATCTAAGTATGAATACTCACTGACTTATTTAAAATCGTCATGGCTACTATCTTAAGCACTGGTTTAGGTTCCAAATATGCAGAATGGACAAGACAGCACCATACTTCCCCACAGACATTCCAGCTGGGAGAGTGACAACAAAAATGTAAGGCAAAGCTTAATCATGGTTGTGGGAGAAAACCCTGCAGGCAAGGGAATCCAGTGATGAAGTCAGGCTTTCTCTTTTTACATAGTAACAGGGTCAAGTAGAGTTCTCTCAAGGAGGCAAAAGTTGACAATTTGATCAGAAACTTGACAAAGGAGGCAAAAGTTGACAATTTGATCAGAACGGAGGAAGGGCGTTTCAGTTCGAAGCAATAGCAAGCAAAATCTGTGCTGAGTCTGCATAGCTCCAGCACAGAGAAGACTCCTGCGACTGCAGCAGAACAGGGTAGAGGAGTATGGTAGGCAATGGGGTGACAGGGGCAGGATGAGGGGGCTGCCAACCATGCAGGGAGGCACTTTGGGACATGGTTAAGGACTCTGGAAGGATGTAACACGTAAGAGAATTATTTTGGCAGCTGGAGGAAGAGCAGATACAGAAGGCAAGGTTGGAGGTGAGGAAGCGGATCAACACTGGGAAGATGACCACCACAGAGGTGGACAGAGGGGCAAGAAGAGGAATCTGAATGTATTTCAGAAGCAGAGGTGTCAAGACTTCTACATGGTCTGAATGTGGGGTGAAAGAAAACGGGAACTGAGATTACTAAATATCTTTGGTTGGAGCAGAGAGGGACCAAATGGCTACTTAGTAAAGGGAAGACTGGTGGGGAAAGAAGAGTAGAAAATGAAATTGGTTCAGGGTATGTGCAGTTTGAGATGTGCTGGAGCCGGCTGAATGGATGTGAAGGATGCAAGCAGCTGAAAAAGGACTGATTTATTTACATGTTATAAGCATATCCAGGAGACGGCATGAACTCATAAATACAGAAAATGCATAGATGAAGAAAACATGTAAGGTGATTTATTGATTTATCTGTGTTATAATGACAAAAGATATTTTATAGAAAAAAAACCAAAATCAATTTTTTCTAATTAAATCAGCCTCTAATATAAAGTGTCATTTGATTTTCAAGTGTTCATAAAGTGTATGCACAGACCTGCTATTTTGTCTCTGCAAATGATATAGATTAATTACAATAATTCAATTCATATTTACCAAATCTCTACCTTTTCAAGGTTTTGTGCTGACGTAAAGTATAATATGAAACAGTCAGGAAAGACAAGGAGGAAAAGGAAGTTTCAGTACTGTATCAAATAACCTAATCAATACAACTAATTACCAAGGTTCAGGATGGAACCACATACTACCTACAGGAAAGCATGAAGAAGCCCAACACTGTGATCATTAAAATAATACTTTCATCAAATGATCATATCTTGAATAAAGTATAAATGATAGTGAAAAAAAATCAATTCCACCACAAATTTTTTTTTTTTTTCCCTTCCCATGCTTGTTTTCCGTGAAATCACTTCCATGGAATACTGTGATCTTTATTACAGCATTGAACCAGCAGATGTCACTAGAAAACCATCTTTGGAAGAATTTACACCTATGGAGTAACATGTATTGTTCCAAGTGTTCCAATAAACATACATTTACAGGGATTCAAATTGTCACCAATAAAAATGTTACATTAATCTTCTTCAAGTAAATTATCTCCTGCAAGTAAACGTTGTGATAATTCACTTTTGATGTTTCTGTTCCTATCACTCAGCAATTACAGAACATTCAGTACCCTACTCCTTTGCACCAAAGGACTGAACAGTGATGGTGTAACCATGGCTTCCCTGCATGTGCTCCAGTGAGCTGATGACAGAGAGAACAACAGTTTCAGTAACAAAGCTCTGTGCACTCAGTTTTCAACCGTTTGGTGAATATGATGAACGTAAAGTACATACTTTATGAATCTCCTTTACAATATTTCTTCAGACATAATATATGACACAGTGAAATGAACCTTGGTATTTACAAAGTTACAGGCACTGGTAATTTCTCTACCAACCTTGACAACAACCACTTAGAACCTTGGTATTTACAAAGTTACAGGCACTGGTAATTTCTCTACCAACCTTGACAACAACCACTTAACTATAAGGCTTGATTTCTTAATCTATTACAAATTTTAAAGAGACTGGAAGTATATTAACATTTGAATTTTCAATTTATTTTTATTAAAATCAGAATGGAAAACAGAATTTTTCTAAATCACTTATAATAACAATAACAGATCTCAATAACACCAAGAATAACAACAAACACATCAAATGTGTTTTGGTAAGAATGGCTTTTACCACCATTGTTATGCTTATTTATCCCTTACTGTCATTTTAGATAGCTTTTCCTCCTTAAAAGGTTTTTGTAATTTTAATGTTTAATTTTAAGAGTAAAAGAGTAACTATAAAAAATATTGTTAAGTAAAAGAAATTCTGTATAGTACCATTAGTGCTAAAATATGCTGTGTTACATTTAATATTATCAATGGTAAAATTATATGCTTATGGATTGTTTCAGAAAGTGCTCGATCAGAATACATGACCAGTATGTGGTTAGTGGGCTTCTATTGACTGGACTAGGATAGGAGGCATGAGAAAAACAGATTTTTCACTTTCTATGAAGCTATAGCATTTGACTCTTTACAATTAGCATACATATATACTACTATATACTACTATATATATTTTTTAATTTAATAAATCAATTCTTGGAAACAGGAACAGAATAAACAGAGTAACTGTTATTATCTTCACTAGTATAATAGGAAAGAATGAAAA